AGACTTCCTCATCACATAACAGACATGCAGCAATGGCCAAACGTAACCACCACAAAGGTTAAGTATAAATCCAACTAATTCTCTTCTCTAATTCAATACTTCAAGCTAACATATACAGCTTTGAATTAGAATGGTTCGAAACCCGCGCTTGAAGCAGCTAGTTTCCAGTAAAGCAAACGAAAATTCAGAAGACAAAACAAGAAACTGTAAAACGAACCTGAACTCTCGATGTTTACGAAACTGGATTCTGTGGTGGTACGTGCCCGAGTTTGAAGTTTCACGTTTGATAACTGTAAAACGAATCCAAATCTCAACCGATAGGAATGCCGTCAAACGCTGGAGAAGGGTTACCACAGCGCGCTTGAGAGAGTCGCCGCCGCGCGCAGGTCACCGCCGGAGATGAACGCCGCCGCTCGAAGGTCGGCGCTGGAGGGAGTCGTGAGTCGTGAGTGGGGGGAGGCAATTGGATGCTACTAGCTTTTTACTGAGAGTTTGTAAGGCCGGAGGGGTTTAGGGTTTTAGCAGTCTTTGAGTTTCTATTTGTAGTTTATGAATGCAATTGGCGCGCGCCAACGCGCGCGATATTAGGTTCTGCAATAACTTTTCGAGTAATTGTAATTTGTAAGTAATATTAGAAAATATTTCATAAATCTATGGCTTTTCCTAATTTTACATATTTTGATTCCGAATTTTTTAATTTTTTATTAATCTCAGTTGTGTCCTCAATTATTACATTTATATTTAATTTGGTTTGTGATTTTCAAAATAATTAGATTGGATTTTTATCCACCATTTTTCTTGTATTTCAAATCTCTCTCCCAACATCTGACTTTAAAAAATCTCATGATATCACAATTAATTCCATAATTTACTTTGTAAACAAAATTTAAAAATCCCTTCCGTTCCCTTACCATACCAACCACCTCTATTTTTCTCCATTGCAGATTATAAATATATACTCATTCAAAATTTTATATAATATATATTTTATTGGTATAATAAACTATTATATTATATAACATAATTTAACAATCATTATAGTATCTAATCGGTGTCTAAAAAAAACAATCATTATATAATATAGTTTTCATTTTAATTTTATAATATACCGCAGGATAGACATATAGTAGGTTATATAATATATGATAATAATATATATCAATTTGGTACACATCCCTACATACTCTATAAGATACTCAACATATGTTGCATATACATTATATAATTAAAAGGAATGTATACCACATATACTCCATATACTCTTATATACATAACATAACTTTCGCTTTGCAAAAAAAAACCATGGCCATCCAATCTATACATTATATAATTAAAAGAAATGTATACCACATATACTCCATATACTCTTATATACATAACATAGACTTTCGCTTTGCAAAAAAAACCATGGCCGTCCAATCTAGATTGGATGAGTAAGGGTTATAACTGAAAGTGACCTGTGGTCTCCCGCCGCCCAAATTAGGAGCTTGTCGTTCGCTATCGGATCTAGGCATCGTAGGTGTTATTCGATCGTAGTTTGACGACAGGTCACTGTGCATGGGTTGCCGCCTTCGTGTCCTCACCGATGCAGATCGTCGCAGTTATGATCATCATAGTTCATGGCCTCTACTGGATCTCATAGATGTCAGAGTTCATAATAGACCGATCACCGGAGTGGGTGTCATGCCACCGCTATTCATTGCCCTTGGTCACCGAAATGGAAATCGTCGGCGAGTTCAAGAGAGAGATGTAGGGTGAAAATAATAATGAAGGGAGGATGGCGGTGGCTATGGATCAAAGGAAGATATTAAGAGAAGGAGGGTTACTAGGGCTTTCCAAATAGATAATGAAACGGGAAACCTATGATTTCCTATAATGGAGAGATTTAAAAATATATATTGATTTACACTTCATTTTGTTGGTCCAAATTGATTTTATTTATTTGTTTAATATATATTTAAGAGGACAAGTTTGTAAAGTTTTAAAGACTCATCTTATACCGATCTTAAACCTCGATCCATGTATGTAATATGAATCCATACAGTCTAGCAGTGTACCCATCCCTAATTATTTGTTGATTGGGACTCTAATTACTCGTTATTTTTTCTTTTACAAAAAGGTTTTTTAGGATGTGATTTGTCAATGGCATTCTGCCGTGTGATTGTGAGTAACTTGATTATAGCCGTTGGTGTAAATTTGGATAATTAAACCAATTGAATATACATTATGTGTTAAAAATGGTCCTTTTTTAATTAGGTGGGAAATTAAAGATTGCATGATAATATTACATCGAAAATTATTAAAGTAGTAGCACATATTCTTTAAAAAAATGCGGTATCAAATATTACATCCTTGAATTGAGCTAGTGATGTGATGGTAGCCTTCTTAATTTTTTTTTTTCAGAAAATTATGTTAAATTTTAAATTGTAGCATTGTTATTTGGCTGAAACACGATGCTAACAATAATTGACATGTCATGTGTGATTTGAGAATACATATATTCATTTTAAAATACGTATTTATCCATTTGTAATTTATCATATTTTATTATCTGGCAATAAAATACAGGTTTGGTAAGAACACCTAATTTCTTTTGTTTGTTTGAAAAGAGAACACGTAAACTTGAAATAAGGGATTTATTAAAACCATAATTATATTATATGCTTTCGATATTCTAAATAGACATTAGGTAACAATTTTAAAATTTCACCTTAATATAAAAAGTTATTCAAATTATGTTTCGGCCAAAGCGAACATAGCTCAGCGGTAATTGATATACGTCTTCAACCAAGAACAGCTAAATATAGGCTAGCATAAAATACTATTGACAAAGCAAACACATATATAATTATTATGACAAATGTCAAATTTTACCCTAAATTTTGATCAAATTGTATCTCAAACCTTGACAATATTTATCACAGTTGGATTTAACATTTGTCAACTAAAATAATTAAATATACATTTAATGTATACTATATATAAAATGGGTCATGGCGATAAATTTGATCTTCTTATTTTGCTCTTTAATTAGTGTTTTAATGACAATTTTGTCAGCTCACATCTCTCTCAAATTCCAGTCACAATTGTGGACAATTTATCTCTTTATAAAATTTTGATGGCAATTTTATCCTCTTTTACAATTAAATTATCAATAACTATTAAATTATATTAATCTAATATAAATCATAAAATAAATTTGTGTTTTAACTTAAATTAATAGAATAATTGCAACCTTTAGTTATATTTAATTTTTTTTAATATAAATAGTTTCATAAATTCAAGAATTTCAAAATTCTTTTATTTTCCACCAGTATTATTATTATTTTTCATTTCTTTTGTATAACGATTTCAACTATAGTTTAGCTATATGAAATGAAATGTTTTTACAAATAATTTATATTATAATTTGTAACAATCTTATTCCAAAAAACAAATAAAATTGTCACGATCTTAATTTTTAATATATTTTTATACTTCAAAATAAAACTTCAAGATTTCACGTGCATCTTGTTTGATCAAGATCTGACCAACACTACGAACCTCGGTTCGGTACTGAGAGTGACTTGACGGATGAGCTGGAATAAACTGATCAGGTGACATGCAAAACATAACACACTATGATGCCAAAGTTAGTATTTGGTGAACTGAACTCGAGAGATAATTTAGTATTCGCATACCTCAAAACGGAACGAATTGGTTCTATTTATAGGCGACTTCCCCGACAATATTCTTAACAATGTCTCAACGACTCTTTAAGGTCGCCGTAAGCTTATCAATGAAAGTCACGTGTAACACTCATCACCCAACCAACGTGTGCCACGTGTATGGTGAGAATCGCATCCAATAGCACGTGTTGCTAACTTGTTAATATAAAACACGTTTTTTTAATAGAACATATAGGGGTGGGGTTCGAACTCACATCCTCTTTATTAGAAATATATACTAATTAGTTTTTTATTTTAGAATTTATTCCATCATCGTTCTTTGTACACATGAGGCTTCATTCTTAAGAAAAAGAAAAAGAAAAAGAAAAGAGGCTTCATTTTGTGTCGTAATTAGGGTTTGAAATTGTGTAGTTTTGAGATATTTTTACCTTGTCATTAGTTAACATTAGTTAAAATTAAGGAGTGTATTTAGCATAAATTGAATGTATAAATTGCACCATTTTTTATATATATAGTCCAACAATATATGGGCAGAATTCAACCTCTAACATTTTAATTTTATTGATATTACATGTCTTAACTTGTTGAACAATATTCAAATTTTTTATTTTTAATCGTTAGTTTACAACATTATATAATATATAATCTGCAAACAAAATGTTTTGGTATTAAACAAAAATAAGCTAAGTGTTTTAATTGAAAAAAAATGAAAAATAGTTCATAACATAGAATAGTATATTTATCCAAAATTTGTAGGTATTTAAATGTAATTACATGCTCTCATTTTTAAATTTTAAAATAAAAAAATACTAAAAGTTGGAAAAAAAATGTTAGACATGCATTAAAGGGAAGTTTATGTATGGTTGATCTACGAGGGTTTAAAGACACTTTTAGTTCGTGAAGTTTGAAATGAAACTAAATGATTAATGTTCGAAACAAACGAGGGGTGTTATGGAGACTTCAAACTAACCATCTCTCCCACAGTTTTAGATATATATGGATGAAATGTTCTAGCGGTTTCAAACTAATCCACTATTCCAACATTGTTCAACGGTTTAAGATATGGATGAATAAGAGCAAATCGAACGAACGTAAAAGCTTCAAGCGACTTGCTCCTCACTCCAGCATTCGCGTTCACTTCATCGAGCCTTCATGCTCCTCAAGTACCATATATAGAGACGATCCTCGACAATATTGGTAATTTTTTGCTACAGTGACAATGTCTGCATTCATATCAGTCAGGGTCATCGTTCTCCTTCTCCAAACCTAAAACGACGTCATTTAACGAGTAGGCTTTAGCCCTTAATCTGCAAATAAATCGGTTAAATTTCAGTCGACTCGCCACCATCACCCCACGTGCAACTCACAAGCGGAAAAAACCTTCCGATTCTCCTCTTCCCATGGCTTCCGCCTTCGCAAACTCCCATTCTCTCCTCCTCAGATCCGATTCTCTCGATTCTCCACTCGCACAACCCAAGTTTCGTTTCTTCTCCTCTTCCATTAAAGCATCGTCATCAGCTTCCTCCGCTTCCAATTCCGGCGCCGACGTATCTCTCACAAACTGCAACATCGAACCAGTACTCTCAAAGCATCGCCGCCCTGCCGATGAGAACATTCGCGACGAGGCTCGCCGCCACAACACCACTCATTCTCACCGCTTTTCTGCCAAGTATGTCCCCTTCAATGCTGATCCATCATCCGATGAATCGTACTCGCTGGATGAGGTCATTTATCGCTCCCAATCCGGGGGCCTCCTCGATGTACAGCACGATATGGCTGCATTGAAGAATTATGACGGCCAATACTGGCGGAATCTCTTCGATTCTCGCATCGGGAAGACCACATGGCCGTACGGATCGGGAGTCTGGTCGAAGAAAGAGTGGGTGCTGCCGGAGATAGATAGCGACGACATTGTCAGTGCGTTTGAAGGTAACTCTAATCTTTTCTGGGCCGAGCGTTTTGGCAAACAGTTTCTGGGCATGAACGATTTGTGGGTAAAACATTGCGGGATAAGCCACACGGGAAGTTTCAAGGATTTGGGAATGACGGTTTTGGTTAGTCAGGTGAATAGACTGCGTAAGATGCACAAGCCGGTCGTCGGAGTTGGTTGCGCTTCTACCGGGGACACATCCGCCGCCTTATCGGCTTATTGCGCCGCCGCAGGGATTCCGTCTATTGTTTTCTTACCCGCCAATCGGATATCTATGGCGCAGTTGGTCCAGCCGATTGCAAATGGAGCTTTTGTTCTTAGTATCGACACCGATTTCGATGGTTGCATGCAGTTGATTAGGGAAGTTACGGCCGAATTACCCATCTACTTGGCAAATTCTTTGAACAGCTTAAGATTGGAAGGGCAAAAAACTGCTGCCATTGAGATTTTGCAACAGTTCGATTGGCAGGTTCCTGATTGGGTTATAGTTCCGGGAGGTAATCTTGGAAACATATATGCATTTTACAAAGGGTTTCATATGTGTAAGGAACTGGGACTTGTAGATAGGATTCCAAGGCTTGTTTGTGCTCAAGCTGCAAATGCAAATCCACTCTACTTGAACTACAAATCAGGCTGGGGTGAGTTTAAGGCTGTGAAAGCCAACACTACTTTTGCCTCGGCGATACAAATTGGTGATCCAGTCTCCATTGACAGAGCGGTTTATGCACTGAAGAACTCGAACGGGATCGTCGAGGAAGCAACTGAGGAGGAGTTGATGGATGCCATGGCTCAAGCAGACTCGACTGGCATGTTTATTTGCCCTCATACAGGGGTAGCTTTGTCAGCATTGATCAAGCTCGTGAAGAGTGGTGTCATAGGGCCTACTGATCGAACCGTGGTCGTGAGCACGGCTCATGGGTTGAAGTTCACGCAGGCTAAGATTGATTATCATTCAAATGAGATCAAGGATATGGCTTGCCGTTTCGCAAATCCACCAGTGCAAGTAAAGGCAGATTTTGGTTCGGTCATGGATGTTTTGAAGAAGTATCTGTTGAGTAAGAATCCAAATTGTTAGGCTTAGACCATTTTTTATTTACTGTTGCTGCTGTCTCCGTTTCTCTTAGTCATGCTTAATAACTTGGTTATACCATTGTTGTGGTTATATCTATCATTGTTGCTTGTAGTTTTATCAATCCTCAGGTAACGGCTTGACTCTGTATCACAATTTGGAGTTTATGTCAACTAACTTTTAATGAGTTTAGAACAAATCTCAGCTGCATGCAGGAAGTAAAAGCTTCTCTTTTTGAACGTGGTCTATTTTTTAATGATCCAGCAACGCAGATAGACTACATTGAAAGGGTAGAACTCCAACTTATTGTTTTTTTTTAAGTAATTTCGTTAACATTTCTATTATGTAAAGACTTGCCTTTTCTGGAGGAGTTTTTTAGTGGTACGAGCTTCTCTTTAAATCAAACTGAACCTTGTCTTTTCTCACTAGTTGTGGGTATCAATGCCAATGCAATAATATATTCTTCATTGGCATTAAAGTAAATGTTTGGGATATTACTACATTTAATACTTCCTTGTGGGGTTGGTTTCTAAAGCGTTTCCCGTTTTGTAATCACCAATTAGGTCAGGTATTATTCTTTTAGATTGGAAGCTCCTTTTTCTAAGGGGTTCCTTTTGTCGAGCTGCCTTTTTGTATGCCCTTATACATAACTTTCCATTTTTCTCATTAAAAGTTCGGTTTCTTATAAAACAGAAAAATAGCAAATGGGTGTAATGGTTGGCAATATTTTAAGTTTTGTCGATGGATTACTTGGTACATGCTTTTAGTACAACCTATAGAACAGATCATATGTAAGATCGTTACTTGATCCAGGTTTCTATCATCAATTACTCTATATTATGGTACCATAGCAATATAGCTGTTGATATATGAACAATCTGAGCTGATGCGTTCTTGTTCGGCAAACTTGAACTTGTTGTAATTGCAGTTGATTTGACAGAGGCCACTTTTCTTTTTTATCAGTGAACAAAGTGGTCGTTTCATCTTGAATATATTCAAAACAGAAGATGGCAATTATATATATTCAGATGGACTTTCATCATCGCTGTCACAGAGGTTAGCTTTTTCTTAAGAGCCATGGACTGCAATTTTCAGATTCAAGATCAGTAGCAAACTGGTTAATTTTTGTCTGGTAGGATATAGCAAGTTACTAGTTCAGATTCAAAACCAGTAACGTAGTTAGTTTTTGCTTATTTGGATAGCCAGTTCAATTACATACACTCAAACTCGACGATTTAGTTATGCTTATAAATGGTATATCAAGTTGAATTTCTTTCATTTCATCTGATTTAGGGACGGGAAAACTTAGTTCTTTCAATGCAGAATGCATGAATTTTTTCCATTTCTCCAATTATAGCTTTGGTTTATTTTATCAACCAAGTCAAATCTGCCATTATGATGTTCATTTTACAAATTGATCTGCAGGATTAGTCCTCCTCCATCATTGAACCCAAAAGTCAATAGTAATTTATGGCTCTTTGGTGTCACATTTTTCCACTGGCTTTATGACAAAATATTTACCTGCCCATCAAATTCTTGCATTCCCAACCCTCATTGATCAAGTTGTAACAAAATGGAGTTTAAACTATGATGGTTGGTGATTGACATAATCTTTGAATTTCTTTCCAAGTAACATAATCTTTAAATAAACCTCTCTATTCAGCTCTAATTTCAACAAATTAATTTAAATGCACATTAGATCTCAAAAGACCAAGAGAATTTTCATTAAGTATTATTTTTCTGATTAGGCATTCACATGACTAATATGTTTTGCATCAATCGGACTATATTAATTTACAAAGAATATAAATTTAAAGGGTCAATGTAAATAGTAAATGACTTAGAAGAACTGAGTTCAAATCATTAGGTGACCATGATCATCTAAGATTTAATAATCTATGAATTTTTTTGTTAACCAACTGTAGAATCATACAGTTGACCATGATTAGTCTAGATGCATGCAAGTTAGTCTAGATCTAAGGTTTTAAATATCAATGTTGATGGAAATGTCAAGTTCTCAATTTCATGGAAATGTCGATAAAATGTCGATGTTGATAGATATTTATGTAAAAGTTAGAAAAATTAAAAAATATTAACAAATAAACATTTTCCTAATTCTAAATTAGTTAAAAAATAATTAATATTAATATTTCGTATATATTAGTGACATTTTGTTGATATTTTTCATATTTTGTCGATTTTCATGTACTACGATGGAAATGTCGATTTATCCGATTTATCTCTTGTGTCGATGTCGAATGCATAAAAACATTAATATGTCGATGAAAATGTCGACGGATATGCGTGCAAGCTAGGCAAGTGGATATAAAAAAAGAAAAAGATAAGTAGATATATATATATATATATATATATATATAAGAATTGTGCCTCCTGTAATTCCTCCACGATTTTCGCCAAATTCTTAGTGAAAGCCCACCACTGGCTTTGCCGCTGGCGCAGCGTTTACAGATGGACGCGCTTGTTTCTTTAATAAAGCCGAAGTCATTTGATTCTCAAAAGCATCCTATGTCAATCCCACTTCCCATTTTTGTAAAAATAAAAATAGTTAACATCCTACTTCTTTTTTTTTTCCTTCTTCCCAACTTTTCAAAACGTATTTTTATTCATTTCAATTAAACTATAAGATAAACATATATTTTTTAATATTTGTTGTAAATCTCGTAGACCAGTTAACCTGAGTATAATTTAACACGTGAAGGCAATACCTTTGACCAAATGATGGTGTGTTCAAATTTTATCCCCACATTTTCTTAAAATTTGGTATTGTTTTAAACTCATTCATAACCTTCAAATATAGAAATTGAATCACATCCATCACATTTCATCTCAAACGCAATTATTTGATTCTTAGGCTTTTAGATTCTCGAAGTTTTTATATTGATACCAGCACACCAAAACACTCCCGTTATGTTTTGAACTATCTTTAAATCACAACCACAGAGAATTACTTTTTGCATTTCAAGGAATCTGCCCAATACACCAAAATAGGCAATTTTATTTGGTAATAATATAGATAGATAATAAGAATAAGCATCTCATATTATTGGTTTTGAGTGGGTATGCAAGTTTGGTGATTCCTTTGTCCTTGTGAAGGGAACCAGTACATCTCATGTTGAAAATAGTGTTAATGTGGGGATGGGATTTAATTTCATAGATTGGCTACTTTCTTCTGTTGCTTTATTGGTGGCCAACCTCACCTGCCATTTTACTATGCACCATCTTATCCCTTCCTACATGGGATACACCTTTTTTTGCAATTAATCATCCAATTTTCAAGTTCTCAGTCTCATAACTATTTCGTTTATAGTTTTTTTTAAGTACAATATGTAGAGCTGGGGGATCGAACACACAATCGGAGGTACATGCCAAGTTATGCTCGGCTCGTTTATAGTTTTATGTTTTTTAAAATTAATCTATATTATATATTGTTTATAAATATTTTTAAAATATAGGCTGAATTCTAAAAATGAATAAAAACAGTTTTCAAATTGTTGTTTTTGTTTTTTAAGTTTGGCTAAAAATTAGAGGTAAAAAACTTATTAATAAAATTGTAAAAAAAAACATGATTTTAAAAAATAGAAAAAAAAGAAATTGTTATCCAACGGTTCTAATAAAAATAAATTAGAGTAATGTGGATTCACCCTCTTATTTTGTCTTTTGTGATACTTCCAATTTCTTTATCAAATATGAGTTAGACGTCGTTGTCACATGGTCGAGGAATAAAGGAGTCCTTAAATTCAACTTCAAAATAATCTATTGAAGTCCATGACAATAATTCAAGAAATGATTGATAGAATTAAACTAGTGTTTGTTTCTCATTCCATGTTGCATAAATTAATATTGATTTTGTTCAAAATATAAATATAGAAGATATTCAAATTATAGCATTCCTTTTGTTTCTCATAAAGCACTAAATACAAAAATCAATTTATTAAAAAAAAATCAAATTCATATCCAAATTATCTCACAATATATAAACCAATGTTTCTAGTTGTAATCTCATCTCATGTCAGAACATTCTGAAAAACTTTAAACTTAAAATATGCTATAAAAAAAAAAATTCAACAAACAAAAGAATTGAGATTTTTTCTGTTTTTTTTTAATGGGGAAAAAGTGTGTTGTGGGCTGGGCCTTATCCTTGATCTACTTTGGGCCTGGGCCTGGTTCTCGGCCTAGGTTAGATCTCTTCCTCGCCTTCTTCTCCTTGATGGAATTCATCTTCTGCAACTTCAAATCCGCTCTGAATCTTTCGATGAACTTATCGGCTTTACTGTTAACATCCGGGCTTGAGCAAAACATCGGAGTTGCGGAATCTTTCAACAGCCTCATTTGGCCGGCCGCCGGTGGGCCATCGGCTTCACTCTCCTCCATGTCCGGCGAAACGGCTCTCGGCGTACTGCTATTGCTTCCAGAACTGTCAAAGTTTCCGTGTCTCGCGAATTTGAAAGGCAGCGGCGGTGGAGGAATCGGATGGAACGGCGACTCACCGCCAATGCGTGTATTGTATTCTTCGTCGTTTATACTGCTCAGTCTCTCGAGCTCCATTGGAGGCTCGTGAAGGTTGGAGAGCTGATTTTGATCTCCGATCTCTGGTTTAGGTTCTGAGGAGGCTATTGATGGTGGAGGCGGCTCTGGTAAAGTTAATGATTGTCCTTTTCTGCCTTTCCCTTTCTTGGAAGAAAATAGGTTTTGAAAAACTGACGGCGGAGGAAGCGGCGGAGGAGGCGGAGGTGACGCTGGTGGTAATGACGATGTAGAAGGGCGCTGGGAGCTGAGGATAGTCTCGAAGCTTTCGATGCTCTTTTGTCTTTGCTTCTTCTTCCTCCTCCTCAGTGCGGTTGTCCAAAATTCTTTTGTAGGTCCGCCTCTCTTCTTCTCATTTTTGCCGATCTTCTGCTCCGATTCCTGATAAAATGCCGGCGGTGAGAGTGGTGGAAGCTGAATCCGTTGACAATCCGCGACGTCTGAATCGCCGTTCTTGTGCTGTCGATCGATTTCTCCGTCGGGCGTATGGCTATGGACCTTATGCGTTCTCATTGGCCTCCGTTTAACCACTGTAGGGGTCGTCTTAGGGGGAGGGGGAAGGGTTGGGGGCGGCGGCGGCGGCGAGCGCGGCGGTGAAAGCATTCGCGGTTTTGAATAGACTTCCTCACGAATCCCAGATCTGTCGAAACCTGTACTTCTGGCACCGAAATCTTCGTGCTCAAGCTCCGGCCGAGCTTCACGACGACGATGAAGCTGATCGGAGGCCGGAAGCCGATGATTATGCACATGAGTGTCGTCGTAAAATCGCCACCGTTCATCGCCGGCATCCAACAAAGACTCCTGCAGACGTAGATCCGGATACGAACTACTACTCCTCATCCGATTGAGAGTGTAATGAGTCGGCCGATCATCGGAATATCCATACCATCGGCGCGGAGTCGTAGGGTTTGACTTCCCGGTTCGCTTCGACGAAACACTCCGATCTTCAAAAGAGGCTTTACTATCATCGCCCGTGTTTCTGCTGAGAAATCCGCAGACAATGGCGAACAGAACGAGAACCAAATTGAGAGAATCCCAACTCTTCTTGACCGATTGAGGTCGAAGCAATTGAGAACCGAAGTGCACAAATTTAGGGATCACAATCAAGATGAAACACAGAACTATTACTAACAAAACAATGAGAAAGGCGCTGGAGTTGAGAAGGAAAGACGATGCGCGGCTGAGGCGGCGGCGGGGGCGGCGATTGTAGTCGAGATGGTGAAGAGAGTTGGAGGATTGGAGCCAGAATGGCGGCGGCGCGTCGCCGTCTCCCTCCATTGTCGCCGGTTGATGAGGGTGGGGCGCTCTTTTTCTTAGCTTTGGCTTTGAGTCTGCTTTTTGTGGTGGCGTTGGCGTATTATGATTTATGAGATCGCTTTTGCGTTTCCCTTTTTACTTGCGTGCGTCTATTTATAAGCAAAAGCGAGTGGTAATCGGTAAATGCAAGATGTCATGTGACCCACTTTCCATTTTCTAATACTCCAACGCTCTTTTTTCGGCTACCTTAATATAATGTTGTGTTCAATAAATCCATAAATGTAATGGCATCAAGGCTCGAGGTTCGGTACCTGGTAGTCCCGACCTTCTTCTACGACCTGACATTCTTATGTACCAATATGAGCCCTTTCAGCATGTTTTATCCTTGCTTCCTGAGAAAAATCTCTCGAGGTCACAAAATGGACGGTATACATAATCTCAAGATCTCTCTTGTTCGAATGTGGTGTGAGTTCATACATGTACCTCTCATCTACTCGAATATCACGACGAATGAACTTTTTTTCTTTTTTTTTTTTTAAATAGAAAAAACTAAACCAAACGAAACGAAAATCAAAGGGGATAAGATTATCTCCCGTCTCACAAGCCCTCCAAGCAATGCTGTGAGCGATACCATTCGAGCTTCATAGTTGAACTTCATTTTATTATTGATAGAAGAAGAAACTTTAGATAATTCTTCTTTTATATATATATAAGTCTAGCTTGAATAACAATCAACCTTTTTTTCCGTCTTTAGTCATTTTAATGTGTTTTATTTATTTAAAAAGAAAAACAAAAAGCATCATAAAACAATGTTAATGTCATTAAAATTTAAAACTCTAAACTTACTTTATATTAATAATTAGTGTAAGACAACCACCATAATCTTACCTTTCAAGATAACCATATATTTAAGTGTAATTCTCATTGGACGAGAAGTATGTAGTACAGTACATGCTTTTAATATATCATGTTATGTAGGAAAATATACCAACAAATTAATCTAAATAAAAAATGGGTGTTGGCCATTTATTTAAATTAATACTCGCACGCAACTCTAACCAACAACACAAGCCACGAATGAAACACTTCTTAATCCAATTATTGCAACAATTATTTAATATTAAAATGAAATTTACCTGATAATAAATTATTAAATTACGTTTTTTTATAAATTAACGGGTTTAATATTTATAGATAACCAAACAGAAAATACAGAATTTGTGCCATTTTTTTAAATAAACAACAAGAATAATCGGTGTACGAAAACTTCGAAAAGAAGTTGTTGTTTTTCTTTTTCTTTTTTTATTTTATTTTTGTCGATTTATTTATAACCATCTTGCCAGGTCAGCAATTATTTGTTTTGTGATTAAAAGACACTTTTTACCCATAAACTTTTGGTAAGTTACATCAAATTTCACCACGAATTTAGATAAGTATTATAATTTCTAACATTTATTCAATGAAGTAATTCACTCGGTATTTAAAAAGATAAAATGAAAACCTCAAAATTACACTTTGTACAAAATTAAACTTAATGCAAAAATTAAACCATTAAATAACTATGTCAATATTCAAAGCTTGTAAATTTCAATAAATAAAAAATGTTATAGTGTCATTTTTGTCTAAATTGTGTCGATTTCATACCAAATATATGTTTTACAATGCATTTGACACATGTAAGAACATTTTTTTCAACAAAATTTCAAACGAAAACTGGACCGAGAGTAAACAGTACAAATACTTTTTAAAGTTCACGACGAATATTGCAACATATCCAAATTCAATGGACGAAAGTTTATGCTAAAATTTGATATCTCGTAAAGTTCAGGATTAAAATCGATATTTTCCATCTTTTTAATTGATGTTTTGATTTGTTAAAATAAAAAAGAGCAACGTTTTGAAGAAAATATTGTTTACTAGTTTTTTCAAACTAGTAAATTATATGGACTTTTAAATTTTTAAAATTTTTTCATTTTAGTCCAGCTTTCAAACTGTCAATGTTTAAAAAACAATAATTTACGTCAAAGCGAGCACAGCTCACATATTAACAAATATATAAGGAAGTTATTGCAAGATCACTGACACAAATATTAATTAGTAGGATAATTATAAATTAGAATAAAGCAATGTCCAAATACTAAAGTAAATTATTTAAAAAAATAAGGAAAAAAAGATTATTTTTAAGGTGGATTAAAATATGCATTAAAAGTTGTTATGTAGCGGAAAAAAAAAACACAAATTATTAAACTTTTGAAGTCAATATTATTTATTTATTTATTTTCATATAAATACATCAACGTTAATAAATCCTAACAGCGTGTTACGCGTTTGCACAAATCTAAATCCAAGGCGGGTCCCCCTCATTTCCCCATTTGTTGATTTTCATAATTACGTGACAAATTTATTTTGTTATTATTATTATTGTTATTTTATCTTTTTGTATGGGAAACCAATCAAAATACGTAATGTGTTATGCTGTCAATTTTTAGTATCATGAGAATTCACACCAATAAATGGGAGTATATGTATTGTTGGAGGTGATTTTTATCTGTCTTGCTAGATCATAGATAGTGAACCATCACAGAAAATTATTTATAATTAAATCAATAGCTCAAATCTTCTTAAAGGTCGAGTTGAACTGTCCATGACATGTCATGCCGACCCAAATATTCATACCTCGATGTATCTTCTCGAAGAGCCTTAATCGACATCAAAAAACATCTGCAGACACAAACCTCTAATAATATCTCAGACACAAGTTGCAATTCTCGAAGCTGTTGGAGAGCTGTTGAAGCATTGTTGGATGTCCAATCGGAAGCTCATCTCCTATAAATAGAGATATCCGTCTCATCTTCAAATACACGAAACTATACTTTCTCAAATATAGATTGGATAAACACTTACTTGAACGTTGGAAATCATATTATATTTTACAAGTCCCTCGTTTGTCAGTTCGTCAGTCCAAACCTCACAACTTTTGATAATTTTTCATATCAAACATAAACTATTTTCACATTCACACGTTAGTAAAAACATTCCCTATTCATACACATATATGTCTGTGGCAATTCGAGCCTAACTTGAGTGAATAAAACATATATTTTATCATCTTAAAGTTGATGATTCGCTTCCCTAGACACTCATATATTAAAAAAATAACTCAAACATGCATATATTTGGCTTTTAGAATATAATTGAGTTATATTTACATAATAATAGATATTTTAAAGATTCCACGTTAAGAGACTTAATAATATCTATAAATATATAAACGTTGCTAAATAATTTTAAGATGAAATGAATATTAAGAAATACTTTTGATTATTAAAGCACACTATTCCAATATTATTATATAAACTCACCTCATGGATTTAAATGTTATATTTTAGTCCTTCAAAATTGAGGTATTTTATTGGATATTTTTTAGTTGGTCTTAAGTAACATGATATTAGTTCGAGTATATATTTTGTAATTAACTTTTTACTACTTGATTTTGTGCATGTCCAAGTGGAGGTGACAATATGATTTTTTAATTCGATTTTGAATGGATTATTTATTTAAGATAGTAGTTACTACCAACCTGAGTTCAGTTCAATGGTAATTGACATATGTCTACTTAAAAGTTTAAAATGGTGGTAGCCTTAACTGATCTACCTATATTATTCGAACTCCCAAGAACAATGATCATCTCTACAATAGTCAATTTCGACATAGATTCGGAATACTGCCTTCCGTCTCCTCCTCCTTTCCGCTGACGTTGGCTCACGTTGCCACACAATCTAACGACAGCGAAACTTTCTTCTCTCCTAAGCTTCAAAACCTCCGCTATGGTTCTGACTTGAACTTACCTTGAGAACTTCCTTCCTGGGCTCTAGGCTCTATAACGTTCACTCTTCCATCTTCTGTTGGTCAATTATGCACTTTCCCAACAGCATTCGTCCGCCTGCACATTGGGATGGGACATTAGCGAGCAAAATGCCCCACCCCTCCACATTCTTAACAGTTATCGAATCTCATTTACTGAGCCTTTTCTTATCTCCTTTGCAGGAAGCTCTGTAGGCCTCGCAATCCTGACCAAAAGGGTCATGAGTTCGAAACCTCCCACCTACACTTGTTGTACTAAAAAAAGTTAGTAGTTGCTATAAATACGTGTGCACTATATATGTTGGCAGAGAGCTAGGACCCATAACCTTCCAAGGTACATCCATTATTTCTCAAGCCACTATTTACTTATCTTCTCGTAAGCTCACAAAGACTATCAATCTCTCGGTCTTATAGACAACAAAATCTTGTCCTTCCCCTGTTCACAACCTATCGGGTCTCGATTTCTCATAGCTAGACCTAACCTCTCCTTGATCACTTGGTGGTCGATCTGGTTCACCGACTCCTGATTCGACCAACTTTCCAAAAACTGCATCAACAACACCCAAATATAGTAGTCATATGGAAACTAGCCGAGGTACGTACAAGCTGACCCGAACAGTTATTATAAAAAAAAGTTGGAAACATAATTAAGCACATGGTTAGTGTCATGGTCGAGGTCAAGGTCAAACGCGTTATGGAGGCTCCTAAAACGTTGCTTAATGCCCCGGTTCTCTTATCAATCTATGTTATTTTTCTTCGCTTCAATTTCCAAGTCGACGGCGGCGGTGACGGTCTTCCTTCTAATTAATTTTTTCTTTTTGGCACAGAGAAATAATAGCACTGAAAGCGCGATACGAGGACGCGCTTTTCTTATTATATTTGCTAATTGTCGCTATCAACGCCAAAAAGGGAAAAACCAGTTCATAGGCATAAAACTGCTGCATTGGCTGCCATTTTTCTACATTTATTATTATTATAATTATTTTGGAGAATTTTTTTTCTAGACTTAAATCACTGTACTAACCTTTGCCTGCAAGTATCAGCCTTAAAAAAGGACCACTCGGAATTCAAACATAAGTTTTATTTAAGCAAGTTCAACCTTAAGTATTAATTTTGGTGTACCTAATTATGTCTTATTTTGAATTTAAAATACTATTTTGGTTATTCAATGTTTAAGAATATTCTATTTTTAATTATCAAACTTTCAAAATATTTACTTTTAACTTTTTATAGACATGAGTTTTTATTAGAGAATTTTTTATTGTATATAAAGTTTGAGAAAAAAAATATTTAAATCCTAAAGGAAATAAAATAAAACCCATGGATCAAAATCCGCTCATTGTTGTATCCGATCCGACCCGACCCGACAATAATTCGTTTCGCTGACAGCCCGCGCGCGGCCAGCCCTAACCTGTCTCGCGCCGCCTTCGCTCCCTCGGTCCGTTCTCAGTTGCTTTCTTATTCTCTTCCAATCGATCTCTTAGAGCCACCGTCGCCGCCTGCGGCTCCCCCGGCCGACAAGAAATCAGTCGTGGCCGCCGTCCATTGCAGCTGGTCCTCTTCTCTCCTACTCTCTTGAATCCACCTTCAGTAAGATTCGTTGTAATTTCTCTCCTGACAGTTTCATCCCCTCTTTGTTTTCATTGCTCTGTATAATTCGCGTCTGGAAGCTTTTTGATTGCCAGTAATACCTAAGATATAGAGATTCATACATTCATTTAACCCACGCTGTTGTTCCTAAAGCCACTCTCTCCCTGAAAATTGACAAATCTTATGCGTGTTGCGAATTCTTCAAACGAAGTGAAGCTCTACGCTGTTGACGTTCGTGGGTGAATTGTGAAATCTAAGGAATTCAAATTCTACGCATAAACTACCGTGTAAATCTTTCGGAGCTCACTGTGATGGCGGCAGACACTAAATCTTTTGAATTGGAAGAAACCCATTACGCGGAACCGGAAGCGAACTCACAGTCTCCAGCGAAGAAGAATAGGAAGAGCGAGAAGAAAAAGAAGCGAGTTTCATCAGTGAATGCCACAATCCAAGTCCTCAGCAACCATCCAGAGAAAACTCCACCGCTAGTTGGTTACTTCCCGTCTGGGTTCAATCCTCACAAGGATGCCGATGAGGAAGCGGTCCAGGAACAGAAATCCATTAGGGCTAGGGTTTATAGGAACAAGAACAAACCAAATAGGATGCAGCTGGTTGTAAGTCCAACGGGGTCGAATGTGGATTTTGTTGGTACCAACTATTTGGGAGAGGCTACCGCTGGGAAACAGCATTGCACCTATGCTCTCGGTGTTCTTGATAAGGCGACCCAAAGCTTAAAGATCGTGCCTATCGCGGCAAACATGGTATTTTATTCTTGATAATAAATGTGGAGAATAAGTATAGTGAAGACTGAATCCTGATTGATGCCTGTTTGCGTTGCTATATTCACTAAAGTTACAAATGCCTCTTATTCTACTTCTTCGTAATAACTTCAAAGTTTTTGCCTGCTTTCCTTTGAAAGAATTTGGCTCCTATATCTGCTGTGCTTGACCTCTTTCTGGAAAGATAGCATTGATTGGTGATGGTCTTTCAATATGGACTGTGGGCTGCTTTCATCTAGATGGGAGGCCAAAATTACTCAAGTTTTTGGCTGAATGTTTTCGAGCTTTTGTAAAAACTTAGTTGCGTGTATCTTTTCAAGTTGCTAGAACTAAGCTACTCTTTGAAATTTATTCTACTTCACAAGATGTCCACGCTGTAATGATCACATTTGTGTTACTAAGCTGACTTTTATTCTCCAGATATTTAGATTGGATCCAAAAGTCAGAGGTTCAGATGTTTCTGAAAAGGAATCTCCAACTGTGGTGGATGACGAGCTTTCTGTGCAGGAGAAAGCTGATAGAATGAGAGAGCTCACCAATCTATATGGAACAAAGAGGTCAATAAAGCAGGTAGAAATAGAGTCCTGGACTTGCTTCGTTCTCTCTTGTTGAAAGTACTTTAGCATCCATCTTTCAGTTCGTTTTATTTGCAGTAACTTATTTATTAAAAACTGTAGGACTTAACCTTATGAGCAGGCTAGCAAAATTATGGGAGGCATGTTATCATGAAAAGGGATTACATCTCTTCCATTTACCTCTTGCGTTGCCTTTAGTTTGTTTTGGATGGAATCCGTTACCCTTTTCCGATATTGATATCATCCTTATTATCTTCTAATTGAAAAGAATCTGATTTAACATTCTAGATGTGTGACCTGTAAGTAAAAGAACTTCATTTTGGATGGCGTCATTCCAAATGGAAGCTCAGGAAGTAGCAACAAATTGTTTGATTTTGTTAATCTGTTGCAGGCAAAGAAGCTGCATTCTTTGAAGCAAGTAGACGATTCTGACACCCAGAAGGATCTAGATGAGAAAATGAAAAATGTAGTGGTGAACAAAGAGGCCTTGGAAGGTACAAATGCGGAAATTGCTCGCAATATACCAACATATAATGCTTCTGCGACTACTCCGCAAGAAGCTTACCCACTCGACAAGATTATCCTCATGGGAGAATGGAGTTACCTGGAAGATGTTTATTCTCTTTTGCGAGCAGAAGCTGAAATAAGTGCAAATTATCCATCCTTCGTCCGCAACAGAATTTATAAATTGCAAGATATTCAGGTACGGTGTTAAGAAGGCTCTAATTGCCTTTTATGAATATCCCGAGGCTGAGATAGAACATTCTTTCTGATGCATTCATGAATCATGTAGATGGTCGATATTATTTAGCTAGTAGGATGAAAAGAGGCTGCAAAACTGATTTGTTTCTCAGATTAAGCTATCTTGTCTTATTTTCCTGTCGTGTCTGATAGTAATTCCATGATCAAATGACTGCATGTTTTCTGGAACAATTTGACCTTTATGTTTGGGTACTGGCTACCGAGTTCGATACATGTAGAACTGCCATATTTTCTGTTCAAAAGGAGTATTTTTTTATGCTTGTTCTGAATTGTAGATTCTTTCAAAGTAGATTTACAATCTAATTTCATGGTGTTTTATTTTTCATTCATTTATAATATTCTTTTTGTTTTTAATGTTAAAACCATCATAGGACGAGGAAGAGAAGAAGAAGCTCTGCTGCATATTTTCATACATCACCCATCTAATAAAGTTCAAGGATCAGAATTCTATGGATGGTGTTTCTTCTGCGAAGGGCCACAAAATTCCAAGCATGCTACGCCAAAAGTTCTCATCCATGTTCTCGCTTTTGGAGTCAAGAAGGCTGTCGCCAGAGAAATCCGACCTTCTCATTAGCCACGTTCTGGTGCTTACTCTATTTGCTGATGAATTCAGTAGTGATCCATCAGACATAGCAAAGGATCTGAGAACTAGCCCTTTCACTCTAAGACTCCATTTTGATAATTTGGGTTGCAAGTTTATACGCAAGAACAACCTGTCGTTGGTTACGCTACCCGTCCCGCTTAAATTTCCACAGCTGAGTCTAAAGAGACGACGATAAGTGATATGGTTAGAATGTAGTAGTTACCCTGTTATTGTAATTGGAAGAAAGAAGCTGAATTCTATTAGTTTTGTGGAGGAAATCAAATTTACATGTCATTTATTTCGTAGTCTAAACAGGATCATATTTCTATGAAAGGCGTTTTCTTGTTTGGTGGCTGAAGCTTATTTGGAAACGAATCTAATGATTGAGTTTTAAACTTGGTAATGGTAGGTACCTTTTGTTTATTATCAATTTATAGTTGAGTTTAATTTAGTTCAATATTTTTAGTAAAAGAGATGTATGTAACTATACGTATTTATTATAAATTAAATATGTATGCTAATATATCTAAATTGTGCACCACAAATAAGAGCTAATAAAGAGACATCTCGTAAAAACACATCACGATTCTTTGTAGAAAAGAGACGGACATTGTTGGTTCCAACTAATAAAAACCCTAACGAACCTAAGAAAAGGATAAAGGCTTAGCAGAAATTGCTGATTTTTCGAGATCTTCTTATGAATTCTATCCATATACATTATGATCGCCAACTAATACTAGATCTCCCACATGTATTTTAAGTTTGTGGAATAGATTTTCCTATGTGATCGTAACTTAATATTTGAAAATAAGCAAATAAATACATGAAGGATTAACAACAAAATTTGACTCTTTGAACTAAAAGAAAACTCAAACCATTTAAATTAAAATATTTTATGTTAAAAGCTATATCCAATGAACCCGTACACGCATAATAAACACGCAATCCCCATACAATTTTTTTTTTTGTTTTTTTAAACAAACATCAATATCTAAAAAAAAAAGGATATCTGTCTATAATTGAAAAAGAAATTAGTTTGAATATAGAGAACGGGGAGTAAAACTAAAGATGCATCGGATATTTTATTCTTCATTTCTCTGCTCTCTGGTTTGAACATTCAATCTGTGTCATTCCGTTACCGTAATTCGGATTCCAAACAGAGCAATGCGTTGGTGGGATGACGATATGGTTTGTAGATTGTACAACCGTCGAAGCAATTCGTTGAGTTGAGTTTAGAAGTTGGCAATTCACAGATATGAAAATTGAAGCCGGAAAATTGAGGTTTGAATTTTGAAACTATCATCTTCTCCACCACCTCTATAATTAGCAATCACAGACTGGATTTTTTGAATCTTGTTGAAGAAGATGGTGTTCTGTTGGTTTTCTTGTCTGTATCTGTTCCCAAATATAGTAAAACAATTGCAATCAAACCCACTCTCCACTCCCCTTTTCATCCCTTGCCTTGTTCTCATTCCTCCGCACCGCAATCCATCAGCTCTGTTCGGCGTCATCGACGGCGGCGGTGGAGTTTCCGTCAATGGCAGCTCCCATGTCTGAAGAAGAAGCTAACGATTCCTTTACCGCCTCCAACACGGTGATCGCCATTAACAGAGACAAGAATAGCCAATTCGCGGTTAAATGGGCGGTGGAAAACCTTTTCAACAGGAAGAACGCCGGCGAATGCATCCTCATCCACGTACGGAGCCAGAGCTTGCATCCCCGTAGGCATCCGCCTCCCTGGTTGTTGACGTCGTTTGGCCGTCGTCGTTCTCATTAACCAAATCATATTTATTTTTAGGGAAACTGCCATTTTCTTAATTGTCGTTTGGAGATGAATCAGTGATTTCTTGTAATTTGGCATTTGTATGCAGAGGATGCTGAAACGGTTCCTAAGGAGTTTCGTCCACCGACTGAAGCTGAGTTGCACCAGTTCTTCCTTCCCTACCGAGGATTCTGCGCGCGAAAAGGGGTAAACATTTTGCAAAATCTCTACTTGAATCACCATGTTTAAAGAAAAAACGTGCATGTTTACATTTTCAGATAGTTGCAAAGGAGCTTATCATCCATGACATTGATGTTCCAAGTGCACTTATTGACTATATCAGTAACCACTCCATTAGCAATATTGTTGTGGGTGCTTCCAGCCGGAATGCTATTATGAGGTCTGTCTCTCTCTTCGCCTTTGCGGCAGGGAAGATTTTAACAGCGAATTTAAAGAAATTGGTTTAAGCTATGAGCATTTTTGTCGATGCAGGAAGTTCAAACATCCAGATGTCCCGACATGCTTACTCAAATCGACTCCAGAAACATGTTCTGTATATGTCATAGCTAAAGGAAAAGTTCATACTAAGAGATTGAGAAAACGCCGTAAGGGACAATCTGGGCCAGATACACCAACTGGAACTCCACATATTCAAAGGTCTCTATCGAAAATACAGCAAGGCTTCTCTGCAGATAACATCAGGTTGAATTTCATCATTCTCATATGTGACAAATTTATAGGGGTAAACTCTTTTTGTTTCTTCACTAATTTCCTGTAAAAGGTAGAATTCTTATCATTACCTGATTGGGATGCATTGTTGTGGCCTCTCGAACAGTTAGATTCCTATGTTTTTTTTTTGTCTTTTACTGGTATATCTGGAGAGAAAGCCCAAATATCTTTACGTTTTCTTGTTCAGTGGTCTTTGTTCGTATTGACTCATGGATAAGCATACAGGCCCTTAATGAATCTTATTTTTCCTTTTTTCTTTCTGGGTCAGTGACTTTGGTTGCTAGTATAGAACTGCATTTAGAGGCGATGATTATAATAAAAGACTAACAACAGTTTGTTTCAATTGTAGGCATCATTCTGCCATCAGTAGTGATTCACTATCAGGCAACAGTGACTTTTCGGGGCCTTTCAGTTTCAAATCAACTGAAACATCCTCTGATAACTTAAATTTTTCCTTAACCTCATCAGAGACTGGTTCGAGGAGCTTCGTTTCCTCTTATACCACAGTAAGTGAAGAATTATTCAATTTCTTGTCCGGTTAAGGAAGTATACCTAACCTTGGTCGGTGACTGGTAGCATTTACAACATCAATTGTATTTGAGTTTACATTTAGGAAAAGGAATTTAATACTTTTTAAGTTATAGTTTTAGAAATGGACAATTGGCTTACTAATTTAGCTTATCTGCATTTACAGTCTTCCATAGAATCTGAGATGAGAAAGCTGAAGTTTGATCTAAAAAAGACGATGGAAACGTATGACTCAGCTTGCAAGGAAGCTGTAGTAGCAAACCAAAAGGTTAGAACTGATGACCACTTTTTCCATATCAAATGATATTCATAAAATCAGAAGTCCTGAATAGTACATTATTCGAACCCTGTTGATCCTGATGCGTTTTTTATGCCAGGCAAGTGAACTCCAACAATTGAAGATGGAAGAAGAGAAAAAGTTTGAGCGAGGTAGATCTGCAGAAGAGGCTCTAACAATATTAGCAGAGGTTGAGAAGCAGAAGAGCAAGGCTGCAACAGAAGCAGCTCTAATGGCACAAAAGCTGGCAGAATTGGAGACCAAGAAAAAACAAAAAATTGCTGAAATGAAGGCTAAGAGTAAGGAAGAGGAGAAGAAGAAAACAATTGAGTTATTTGAACGCAGTAATATCTGCTATAGACGATACAGCATTCAAGAGATTGAAACTGCAACAGATCATTTTAACGAGTCAAAAAAGATTGGTGAAGGTGGATACGGACCTGTTTACCAAGCCTTACTCGATCATACTTCTGTTGCCATTAAGATCTTGAGACCAGATCTATCTCACGGGCAGAGACAATTCCAGCAAGAGGTTTTTTTTTCTTCTTCTTTATTATTATTATTATTATTTTTTTGCCCCTTTGGCTGGAAATAACTGCATGAAATTATTAGTCGTACGTAAGTTTTCAGTGATAGTAGTTTGATTAGGCGACTGCAACTTCATTGTCTCAAGCTGGAACAACATGAAACTGAATGAGAAACATATTTGTAATAAATGAAAGTGCGTAGATTTCCAGTACCCAATTCATGCATTAAGAAGTTCCTGAGATTTTGCTGTTCATAACTGCAGATTGAGGTTTTAAGCCGCATGAGGCATCCGCACATGGTTCTTCTGCTAGGTGCCTGCCCAGAAAGTGGTTGCCTTGTTTATGAATATATGGAAAACGGGAGCTTAGAAGACCGTCTTTTCCGAAAAGATAACACTCCTTCAATCCCTTGGGGAACCCGTTTCAAGATAGCTTGTGACATTGCCACTGCCCTCCTCTTCCTACATCAAATGAAGCCAGAACCCGTGGTGCATCGTGACCTCAAGCCAGCCAACATCCTTTTAGATCACAACTATGTGAGCAAAATAGGCGATGTGGGTTTGGCCAGGCTAGTTCCACCGTCGGTTTCCGATAGCGTCACTCAATACCACATGACAGCTGCAGCTGGAACCTTCTGTTACATTGACCCAGAATACCAGCAAACAGGAATGTTGGGTGTGAAATCAGATATTTACTCATTTGGTGTTCTGCTGCTCCAGCTTATCACTGCAAAGTCACCAATGGGTCTTTCATATCAGGTTGAGGAGGCCATTGAACATGGCACATTTCCGGAAATACTTGATCCTACAGTTACAGATTGGCCCATTGAAGACACTCTTGGACTTGCTAAATTAGCCCTCCAGTGTTGTGAGCTAAGAAAAAGAGACAGGCCCGACCTCGGTACAGTTCTATTGCCAGAATTGATCAGGCTAAGAGATCTTGGATTGAGCAAAGCACCGAATGGCAAGCCCCCAATTGTCGGGGAAGCTCGTGATCAGCGGGCTTATAACTCGGTTCCAAATTTCAAGGGATCATCAGAAGATGAGGTTAGTTGCCATCTGATTCCCCTAAACAAAAACTGCAGTTTCTATATTCTTATGTAGAGTTTCAAACAAATCATCATGAAATGTGGGAAGGAAAATGCACCTTTTAAAACCTTATACATGCTACGCTACAACTTGTCTGCCTGTCAACAACAAATTTGGGGCAAAAATTTTAGGATTTTAACTTTTTACACAGTAGAAAACCGTTGCATTTATATTTTGCTATTATGTATAATCAGGAAGGAATGAGAAACAATCCTAACGTGCGAATGGAAATTCAACGTAGATCAATGTGAGAAAAAGATGGCAACGATTGAAATTCAGTACGAGATTATGGAGCCGAAAGGGTATTTCTTTGAATGCCATTTCTCCGCAGATAAAGAAAAAATGGATCTCGAAGAACAGTGATGCAAAATCCTTGACCATACCACTGAGTGGAAAAGGAGTTGATGAAATGGGCGAGAAGCACCAAAACTCTGAGCGTTATTGTTGGTCGTTTGCAAGCTGTGCTTCTGCTGCTGCTTCGGGGTTTAAAAAACTACACTCATTTTCATAAGAGAACATTTATTATGTCTACTTTTTCTTTTTTGTTTCGTTTTTTTTTTTCCTGTTTCTGTCCGATATAAGAACACTGAATCATTTATGCATTTCCTGCAAAAAGTGGTTTGTTTCCACAGCTTTTCCTTCCCAACCCACTTGTATTAAATTTCACCACTCTTGCGTTATCTTCATATCAATTACAAATCCAGGAACATTTTGTGATTCAAAGTTCAAACATTTTCTATGATTGTTTTGGTCTCTACTGCTTTAAAATTGGTTCTAATTCGACTTATATATGACTTTGTAAGATAATAAGATTAGGTTGCTATGAGAATTGGACTATTTTTATACATGTCAACATCAAGGAGAGAATACAATCATAGAGAGATAATACGAGAAAGAAAAGAGAATGAAATACGTTGTTAAAACAATCATAGAGAGATAATACGAGAAAGAAAAGAGAATGAAATACGTTGTTAAAGGAAAAGTGATTGGTATTCGGTAATTATTCCGGTAATTGATAGATGGAATGATTATCATTGTTCGGGGTGAAATTCAAAATATACAGGTTGCTCTTTAGCTTTGAAACACGTGTTCGAGCCTTAACTTAGACACGCCGAAGACGTACGGGGAAGAACTAGTCAAGTGTGTATCGGGTAGAACTCGACTCCAACCCAGTARGAAAATTTTACCAGTGGATGATATGTTGGCAGCCAGCTGACATATATGTTTTCTAATGCTCCCTATAAATGGCGGAGTCTCATCTTTCCAAAGGTACACGATCTCTATACATTTTACTAAACTCGATTTGATATGACCTCAAATTAAACACTAACTTGAGTTTCAGAATGCAAGTAGTCAAGCATTACGTCGACGTAAGATTTGTAAGTTGTCAATACATGTTCGCACATTAACATATTGCTTAGTACGAAATTCTGGATCAACAAATATAATTACTTAGTCATACTATTTAAAGTCTAATTTGTGTAACAAACCAAACACATAAGACATACAAACTTTTTATTTTAAAAGATTACTTATTGATATTTAACCAAATATATTTGAAATATCTTTTTCCTTTTTGCCAAAGGATTTTGATACATCTTTTACCGCGACTAAATACAATAGACGAACCTCACGTGGAGAGCACGTGAGAGTAAATTAATCTGCTACGTGGTCGGGGTCGGTTGAGGTGAACCGTCATTAAAGTTAACTCGGTCAACCGGAGAGTATAGGTAGAAAAAGAAGTGAACGGGATAAACCGGTTTATATTTCTCCCAGCTGGACCAGACCGGCGCGATTCATTTTTTTTTTTCCCGCATAAATTAGGCAGACTCGCGGTTGCTGAGAGTATTCTCCTCTCCCTCTTTTTCTCTCTCTTTCGGAGAGAATTGAGCGTAACCCTAAGCTTAGAACTCAAATCTCAACTATGGCGGATCACTCTTCCAATCACGATATTGATTCAGGGTTTGATCGTGGTTCACCACAACCACGTCTTTACAACCCCTACAAGGATCTTCAGGTTCCTTATCGGAACTTTCAGCTTCCGAGCTCCCCCGAGTTCCTCTTCGATGAAGAAGCTCGCCGCCAGCGTCGATCTTGGGGCGAGAATCTCACATTCTACACTGGTTGCGGTTACCTAGCCGGCGCAGTTGGCGGCGCGTCTACGGGCTTCGTCTCTGGCGTTAAATCTTTTGAATCGGGTGATACTATGAAGCTCCGAATCAATCGGATCCTAAACTCTTCTGGTCACTCAGGGCGTCTCTGGGGGAACCGTCTCGGTGTGATTGGGCTGCTATATGCTGGTTTGGAGAGCGGGATTGAGGCTGTGAGGGATACAGACGATGTGTGGAACTGTGTTGCAGCTGGACTTGGCACCGGCGCGCTGTATCGTGCAGCAAGAGGGGTGAGATCGGCGGCGGTGGCCGGCGCTATTGGCGGCGTCGTGGTCGGCGTGGCGGTGACAGCTAAGCAGATGTTGAAGCGGTACGTGCCGATATGAGGGGAGAAGGGGTGTTATTTTGCAATTTTGATCAATATACTTCTTGTTAGGAACGCAAATGGATCATAGTTTTATATGGGAAACTGTGATGAAAATGCTGAGGATGCAATTAACTAATTCATTTTATATTTTCAAACGAGGTTCACTCGTGCTTCTTCATCAGCTTCCTTGAGTGATGTAATTCGTCGAGTTCTCTGATAATGAATAATGTCCATGAATTTGAACCTGTTATATGGGAATAGCCTGGATCCATTATTTCCATTACATCTGATAATTTGGATGTAATTAATGAAATTATTTCAAGTTTGATTGTTTTCATATGCGTGATATCGAATCTCATCAATTAGGACTAGCTTAGTATTTTGATGCTTAAGGGATACATAATTTTCTAGCTTAAGAACTGAGGAGAAATCTGCATGCCATTACTGTTTCATGGCTTGAGGGAGTTCAGAAGATTTGTGATTGCGTGCTCAATGCTTGTAGATGATGTTCGAAATTTGTAGAAAATGAGAGTGACCTTTTTGGGCTTTAGGAATTTGTGGATACTCTCATCTTACGGATGGTCTGAGGAAGGAATCCAACTTTTATTTCTTTTTCATTCATGCTATAATGTGTTGATAACTTGATATATGAGATTATCTAGGGTCATAGTTTTACCTTGCTGATCATCCTTGATTCAAGAATTCCAATCCTTTTGTTCTGGAAAACTTTTACCTTGCTTATTCTTAGCAATTGTTTGATCATTGAAGGGTGACACCGCTTTTAATGAATTAAGTTCTTTCAAACTAACCACAAAACCTTAATTGGGAATTCGATTCAACTTCGAAGGACCTAGGCTTGGTGTCTTACAATTTTATATAAAGGAGAGGAAAATGAGGAAGGTTGTATTCGAAGTTGGTTTGAAGGATTTTTGTACTTCAGTTAGGTCTTATTATTTTGGATTGGGGTCCTTATAGACCAGTACCTTTTTGTCGGGCTTCTTTTTTTTTGTATGTCGTTTGTATATTCTTTCATTTTATCTCAATGAAAAAGTTTGTGCTCTTATAAAAAAACAAACTATTGTGTGTTGCTGGTTGTTGGTTAGGTACAAATGAAATGTTTTCTCTTTTAGTGTCTCGCTATCTTGACAGATGCCCATTCAAAAGTGATATTGGACATTGTCTGAACTCGAAAAATAGGAAAGATATGCTTTGAATTCTCCTTTCCCATACACTACCTAGTACCTATACTAAGTAATTGAAGTGGTACTGCTTCAAGTACCTCCCATTGACTATTATTTGAGAGGAGGTTATTACTTAGGGTGGTGGAACGAATCGGGAACTTCGATCTACGTCGGTTCTGGATTCTCAATGTTCTTCCGATGCTCTCAGCCATTAAAGTGCCAGATGCCTCTAAAATGGTAAATCAGCTGCATTGCTTTTGTAGTTTGCATCTCTATAGATACATCATCTTGCTCGACCATTTTCGTCTTTTGAAAACTTCTAGCCGTAACAGTTTTAGCTTAAAGTTGCAGACATTGAAAGAACTGGCAGGTTCTCTCATATTAGACTCCATAAGTACAAACACATACTAGCCTCGTGGTCCTCCATGGAGGCACATTCTTTGGCTTTGCGGTCAGCTGCTCGGCTTCATCCACCTGCAAAATTTTCCAAGTAAGCTTCTGTATTAGAATTGGCTATCCAGGAACTGTTGCCTGGAAGCTTTGGCAGAGTGAGAGCAACAGGCGAGATAATATAATCAAGGCCTTCGAGACGTGAAGTAGAGACGGTGCAGCAGCTTTAACAACTACAGGAGAGGCAGTTAACAAAAGCAAGTGTATAAACAACTAGTCTGAGGTACGTATAAAACATTAAAAAGAAGGAAAGTTTTCGAGCTAGTGATGTGATATAATGACTCCTATGTTCCCAAACTCCAACAAAGCAGTCATAGCAACTCCATTCCAATGATGCTTCTGTTCTTCCAAGCAATCTTAGAGCGCAACATTTACAAGATGGTTTAAGCCTTCACCTCTGAAAACTGGTCTTCCCCACCCACCACTACACAGCATGCAAATTATAACAAAAGGAAAGTCTTTTAAGTCGGGATTCACTCTTTTGCATTATGCTCAATTGCTCACGAGATTCGAAGTTTTGACCTTTTGATAGAGGATATATTCCTAAAGGGGAATTGATTTTTGTATGCTATTTATTTATTGTCAAAACTTTTCTTTTGTTTATCTAATGCTCGTCATTGTCATTAGATATCAATGTCGAACATATTAAAGACACTCTCCTATCGGGACAATTGCAATTTTAACATAATTTACATAAAGTATTTAATAAAAAGTAGTAAAAAACTTGAAAATATAACAAAATTTAAATACATGTATACTTGGGTTAATCAGAGATTTACTAAAATTATAGTTGATCAATAATTTTTAAAATGATATATTCACAGTTACTTCTAGGAAAAGGAAGACACATATATTTGCATTTTTTTTAATGATAAAACTACTAATTAAAAATTTTCTAATGTCAATTTTAACATAGTTTAATGGGTTAAAACATATATTCGGATCAAAAGGTCGTGAGTTCCAATCCCTACTCTTACATGTTTTCGTAATAGGACTCGAAAGACAATTTGAAAGATTAGATGGTCAAAAAATATAAAATTGAATAGATAAAAATTCCCTTAATGCTCTGAAGGGCCATTTGGTGGGAAGTTTTGTCGGTGGAAATGGGCATACGCAAGTTAAACTCATGTTTGGTACATAGTTTTTATTACTTTTGACATTAATTATTACTGCTATCATGCTTAATTGTCTTAATATGGACTTGAACATAATAGATTTTTTCTTTAATACAACATGATAGAATTAAATTGACGAAGTTTTACAAAGTTGCGAACAAATATAAATGAATATAAAATATGATAATATTAGGATACATAGAACTTACATAAATCAGTAGAAAGTGAAATATAAATGTTTGCTTAAGATTGAAGTTACTTTAGGCCAGTCATGCATGCTTGGGAGCTATTTGTTTTTTCTCCTCCACATTCATAATTGAAAAATGATAACTAGGTTCACGTTCATGATATAAACATTTAAAAAATATTAAAAAAATACTTGACAAGATTTGTTAGTGGCCTTGGTCGGTTTGGCCTAAATCTTAATATTAAATTAGTCTAGTAATATACGACAAAGAAAGAGCTGTACTCTAAAAAAATAAAAAGAAAAAAGAAAAAAAGAAAAAGAAAGGGTAATTTGGGAAATTTGGTTAATTATTTTCAGTCCAAGGGTTACACTACAAAAACCTAACAGCCTTCAGTAAAATTTCCCTCTTTCGTTCGCTCGCTGCGCTTTGCCAATACTCAGCCTCCAACTCCACGGATCAGATCCGAGGAGTTTGGCAAACCCTAGCTTTGCTTTCTTCAGTCTCGCTCTCTTCCGCCTTCATCTTCTTTCTCTAACGATTTGCAGGTTTGATTCCTCTCCTTTTCAATTTTACTTCCCCTTCTGCATATTTCAGTGGCCCAAAATGGTTGTTCGCGCCTTCTTTGGTTATCTTAATCTGTAGCCTCAAGCACCGATACTTTTGTTTTGTTTTTTTTCTTCCATTTTCCTTTCTTATGTCAAATTTTGGCGCTAATCTGTACTGGCGTGTCGAGTTCGTTGTTATTAGTTCTCCTTTTTTGTTTATTTTTATGCGAGTGGTTATTGTTTTTGATAACTACTGGGATTTATTATTGCGTATTAAGACTAGACATGTTGAATTAGTCTTCTGGTTATTGTTTGCCTTCCGTATGGAACCGCGAGTGGAATTAACGGGAGAAGTTGTTGTTTATGTTTCGTTTGTGGTTTTACTTGTGTGTTTTCTGCAGCCTCTGGGTTGGGAAAAGGTTAAAGCGGGTGTCTGGTGCTAAAGAGTTTTGTTGCTCTTTTTATGAAAATATCAGATAGCCCCTAACACCTTCTCCTATATTGAAACAGAATTTTAATGCTTGTACTCCTCCTTGTTCGGATTGCAAGTTTGGCTTTTCTGTTAAATTTCATATGTTTTTCTTCTGATCCATTGGTCTCATGAGTTATGACCAATGAATGAATCAGGTTGATAAAATGAGAATGACCATGATTTTGCTATTTTGCTGGCTGCATAATCTGAGATGTTTTAATGATCTCTTCTCTTGTTTATGTTTTAATGAGCTCTTGCTTATGTTTTGCACTATTTTCCACTTACAGCCATGGCAGGTTTGGCTCCAGAAGGATCCCAATTTGATTCTCGCCAATATGATGCTAAAATGAGCGAGATGTACATTTTCTCTCTTAGTTTATTTCTTCATTTTTTGCCTTTTACGACTTAATTTTTTTTCTCTGTATGTGTATCCACTCATTTAGTTATACTCTCATTCTCCTTGCAGTCTTTCAGCTGAAGGGCAGGAATTTTTTACCTCGTACGATGAAGTTTATGACAGTTTTGATGCTATGGGGCTGCAAGAAAACCTCCTTAGAGGAATTTATGCCTATGGTACATACTTGGTTCATTTTTTATTTCTTTCCATTTTGAACTCATTTTGTCTCAAATATTCCTTGTAATTTCCTACGTAGTTCTAACGGAGTAATGGGTTTCACTCCTTTAAGGTTTTGAGAAGCCGTCTGCTATCCAGCAAAGGGGTATTGTTCCCTTCTGCAAAGGTCTTGACGTGATTCAGCAGGCCCAATCTGGAACTGGGAAGACTGCAACCTTCTGCTCTGGGATTCTGCAGCAACTTGATTATGGTCTAGTTCAGTGCCAGGCTTTAGTTCTGGCACCGACTAGGGAGCTTGCTCAACAAATTGAGAAGGTTATGAGAGCTCTGGGAGATTATCTTGGTGTTAAGGTTCACGCTTGTGTAGGAGGAACAAGTGTCCGTGAGGATCAACGCATTCTTCAAGCCGGTGTTCATGTTGTAGTTGGAACTCCTGGTCGTGTGTTTGACATGTTAAGGAGGCAGTCTCTCCGCCCTGATTCTATTAAGATGTTTGTACTGGATGAAGCTGATGAAATGCTTTCTCGTGGTTTTAAAGATCAGGTGAATTTCTTATCTTAATGCAAACATTTTCTTAGTCAAGCGTGTGCTTCATTCTGTTGCCTTTATGTAGTAGATGGATATGCTCCAACTTTTTGGTTTATATCTGGAGAGTAGCTTTTTGAATCAGTTATTATTAATGGGAATATCAAGCATTTTGATTGTACTTTTATATCTAATACCTAACACCACCCAGTAAATATACATGACGAACTAATTGCAATAATGTAAAGTACTTCCATGATTGTGTTTTAAGTAGGCATTTGACATGAACATTAGATTACTAGTCTTATCAGTGATAATTCTTGTCTTCTGCCTCTTGAAAGTCAGTTTCCTTCGCTGTACTTTTCATTGGTATTTTGTTATCTTTATTTGTCTTAGAATTAAGATTTTATGGACTGTAAAGTATTACCCGTTACAGGTTCACTTCTCAAGAGTTCTTATCGATTCCTATGTTTCTTTTTTTTTGTGGTGGTAGATTTATGACATTTTCCAGCTTCTGCCATCAAAAATTCAAGTTGGGGTATTCTCCGCCACAATGCCACCCGAAGCTTTGGAAATCACTAGGAAATTCATGAACAAGCCTGTCAGAATCTTGGTAAAACGTGATGAGCTTACTTTGGAGGGTATCAAGCAATTTTATGTAAATGTCGATAAGGAAGACTGGAAGCTTGAAACTCTATGTGATCTCTACGAGACTCTGGCCATTACTCAAAGTGTCATCTTTGTTAACACACGCCGTAAGGTCGATTGGCTTACCGACAAGATGAGAAGCCGTGACCATACGGTATCTGCAACCCATGGTGACATGGACCAGAACACCCGAGATATAATCATGCGTGAATTTCGGTCTGGCTCTTCTCGTGTTCTTATCACGACTGATTTATTGGCTCGTGGTATCGACGTTCAGCAAGTGTCTCTTGTGATAAACTATGATTTGCCAACCCAACCAGAAAATTACCTTCACCGAATAGGGCGAAGTGGGCGTTTCGGAAGGAAGGGTGTTGCCATCAACTTTGTTACAACTGACGATGAGAGAATGCTTTTTGATATTCAGAAGTTCTATAATGTGGTCGTCGAGGAGCTGCCAGCTAATGTCGCTGATCTCCTATGATGAGGTTTTTGGTTTGGTCTTTTTTCTTCCTTTTCTTTTGTTTTTTCTTTTGTTTTTTTATAGGGATGGGATTTTCTCTTATTTCTGAAGGACTATTTATTCCTCTCCAGAACTTTTTTTTCTAAGTATCTTAACTTTTGTTTTCATATATTAGTATTTTCAAACTGACAGTTTATTAATGATTTATAATGTGTCTCAAGTTGCCTTTAATTAACTCCTCAGCTTTATCATCAGGAATTTATTTGTGTATAGTATTATCTTTACATTTACATGTACAATGTAAAAAAATACTGGTGTTTGATGATGTGGAAAGCTTTGTCAAATTGTATTTTGAAGGAAAGATTTAAACTTTTGTGTTTAATGCCATTGTTTATATAGATGAATGTACTTCCTCAAAGTTCACCTTTTCCAAATGATCATCATTAGTTGCACTAAATTTACAATTAGCAATTAATTTCCTTAAGGTTAGGCTTCCAATTATGGAGTAGCAATTGCTCCATTTTCCATCCATAGGATGCTCATGTTTATATGTTTTGTCTTATTTCTTCACACCAGCTCTGACCTGATTTTAAGCATCACTGCTCAAATTCTTCCTTGTAGATATGTTCTAGTCACTTCACAGCCTCCATCGGCCTTGTTCGTTTATAAAGTTTGTGCTAGTTTCTCGACCAGAAATCAGTGATTGAATTTCTCGAGCCAACTGATAGAACATATATATGCATATACGATATTAACATGTCGACCACAAAGTTCCTCGAGCCAATTCTTGTTCAAACTCATTTCTGTAAAAGGGGAAATGCCCTTTTGACCTACTAATGGATCATGATGGCCACAACCTTGGAACATTCATCAATGGGGATGTACCACCATGGCCAGCCAAACTCTAAGCTTTTACTTGACTCTGGCTTTCAATAAATGAATTTATCGAAAGCTTGTGCCGATGGGTCCTCTCCATTTATTAAAAAGAAGAAAAAGGGGGATCGATCATACAATTCAGAGAATACAGCTGC